ATATCGCCTCTGTTTCCTTCCGATCCTTTCTGATCATACTCATGTACATTTCCTGCCAGACTCAGGATTTCTTAAGATCTTTTTCTCATCTTGAGGTAGTTGCTGCAATGAGTTTACCAACATTGTGGGCACCCAAGAGAACACTGTACTTTTGGGAGTGTAGGAGAGTCAGTGTTTTCTAAAACAGTTGTTCTTAGAGAATAATAATGATATCTACCATTATTGAAAGATATCTTATTTCATCCCAACAATAACTATATGAGGTAGGTGTTGGGTTTTCTAGAGGACCAGGTAAGTGACAACTTCATTTTCTACCTGAGATCTGAATCCATTGAAATCTTTTTTAAAAGATTAAAAGATTGAGAGATTAAAAGACTGCTTTAAAAATGATGTTAAAAGAATGTGCCTTTTCTATTTGTTGGCAAATGCACTTCCTAACCCTGAACTTCCCCTCCCAGTCACAGACAATGTTGGGCCAAGGTAGACCTCCTTCACAGAAAATCCTACTCTTGCCAAACTAGAGCATTGGAGTAACAGAGCGAACTGTGCTTCCTGTGAGCAGTTTGCTCCAAGTGTAATTCGGAAGGGCAGAGCTACACATCCCTCGTTCCTTATTCTCAATTCATCAAAAGAATCACTATGCATGAGAGGATAGAGAGTTGCTACAAGTGTTTTGCTGCTGGAAGTCCCTTTCCATGGAAAATACCGTTAAAAGCAGGCACTTTGATTATATTTTGGGAGAAAGCCACCTATGTATATGATCACTTTCCTCAGAGAATGACATTTCTGATATTAATGCCTTCTTGCAAACTTTATGTAGCAGAGGTGACAGCCCCATTGAGTGGGTCTTACTTGAGATACCTTTCTTTCCAATCCAACATATTCACAACCTCTTAATTTTCATCACCTATTCAGGCCTTGATATGCAGCTTCGAGGGTGGGCCAGCTTTGCTTAAATGCCTTGTGTGGTGTCTTGCCATCTCTGCCGAGCGTTTTCAGGCCTGTGGCCCCATGACTGTTTGTCTTCCACTTGCTATGGAATTGTTTAGACTGGTGAAACCTGGCCAATGGGGAGGTTGATGTCCCTCTTGTGTAACTAACCTGACCCAAACCAACTGAGACTGCATGTGTGGGATGATGATTCTTGAGCCTGTGGGCAAGCCATATTAATTCAAGCCACAATTCCCTCTTTAGCCCTGATGCGGAATGGAAATTGGGGTAGCTAATTAAGGGCTGCCTACTTAGTCCAGGTACTACCATTGTAACATTAGAATCTCATATGTACTCTATAGAGCAGGTGGAACTCAGTGGCCTTCCAGTATAAAGGCAGCCAATACTATCTTCCTCATCAATACCTACAGACTTCCTTCCTCAGCCTAGCCTACATTGACAGACTGACCTCCATGGTAACAGACCATGCTGTTCCAGATCAAAGCTGCTTCTGAAAAGCTTATCGCATGGAGGAATAGACACAGAAGGTGTATTCTTTAGTCAGCCTGGCTCTCAGGAGGGAAGCAGGAAAGAAGGAGCTACACTGTGCATGCTCAGTTTCTCTTTCTAGACTTACAAATTGGATTATTCTCTCCTGGAGAAAAGAATGTGTCCTGCAGAGATCCCAAGAGTATTACACTAATGGATATCCGTTCATAAGGAGAAAGCACGAAGAATGGAGGAAAGGGTTTCATCCTCCCTACCCCAATGAAAAAGTTCATCCCTGTAGGCAAATGCTTGATCAAATGTGCTGTTACATGCAGCTCCTTTGTTCGTTTGACATAACCATTGAGTGAGTAATGACAGCCTCTTCATTAAATGGAGAAGTTCCAGTATTAAATAAGCAAATCAGCAAAAACTGAGCCAGAAGGCAGTAGAGACTGCCAATTCAATTTAATTTTTTTAGTTCAATTTAATTTTTAAAACCCCACAGAAATCTTCCTTGGATGCTTTTGCCTATTAGCCTTTAATAAAAGAAAAATATATATAACGAGTTTCTCCAAGTCAGGTGTGTGGTGGAAAGAAGAGTGTGAGGCTTGAAAGACAAAGCTGGGTATTGAATTCTGGCTCTACTGCTTACTGGCTGTGCCGCCGTGGGCAAGTAATTTAACCTCTGTAAGCCTTAGCACTTTTAAGATAATAAGACCAACCCCAAAACCTGAGGATTAAATGTATGTAAAGCACCCAGCCTAGAGCCTGATACACAGTAAGTAGGCAGTCAATTCCTGAGTTATCATCACATTTTGCTGCTGCTGAAGGAACGTATCTGCTGGTACCCGCCTTGCATCGGGTTATGTCTGTGGGAGCAGCTTTTGCTACAAGTCTCCTCCTGTGCTGCATTGTGTGGCAGGATGACTGGGAAGACTTGGCCTGATCAGCCTCTCATGCTATGAACCAATGCTATGCCTCTTTTTTTTCTCAACTCAGGTTAGAGCACAGTGAATGGGACTCTTCCCGGACTCCTATCATTGGCTCCTGTGGCACTCAGGAGCAGGCACTGTTAATAGATCTTACAAGCAACAGTTGTCGAAGGGTAAGAAGGAAAAAGGATAAAGAGAGGGTGTTCTACTATCAGACAGGGCTGGCTATATTGGGGGCAAGGAGCTGAGGAGAAGGAATGTGAAGTCCAGCCACTGAACAGCTGATGAGTCTAAGGCTGGAAGGGTGGGGAAGATTAGAAGAACCTGGTGGAATTTGCCAAGTTGTTGACTCTGAGGCAACTTTCCTCTCAGGATACCCCTTTCTACAGTGGTTGGGTCAGCTTTGCTTAAGTGCAAGACTACTAGGAGGGAAAGCAGCGTAGCCCTATAGGGTGAAAACTCTCTGACTTTCACATTTTTCTTTCAGACCCGGAGTGGCATTGGATGGAAGCGAGTCCTGCGTTCACTCTGTCATTCACGGACCCGAGTGCCACTTCTAGCAGCCATCTACTTTCTAATGATTCATGTCCTGCTCATTCTGTGTTTTACGGGCCATCTATAGACTTAGTTGTTACTCTTTGGACCACTGGCCTCAGAACTTGGAATTCTCTCACCTCTAACATCAGAACTATCAATTCCAGTGGAACAGTCTTCCCATTTACAGGTCTTCTCTCCAACTCTCCACGGAAAGTGCCTGCAAAAACAGAGGTGGATACGAGGACAGGTTGGAGCTGCAGGGACTGGCGAGCCTGCTTTCTTCTACTGCCCTGGGCCCGAACACTTCTGCTTAATCTGAGAATCACAGCTGGTTTGTTGAGCCTAATATTTGTTGAGATTTTGCAGGACCCTGATCTTTTGTGGTCCTGTAAAAGATACTGAGGAATGTCAGCTAAACCAAGAGGATGGTTTCAATAAACCTAATAATCTGAAGTTCAGTATCATTTTGATTGATAGCTTTCTTTGCCTCATTTGCCTGTATTTTCTCCTGTTTCAGGGGGAAGGTGGCTCTGCCATAAACAAAGTTCAGGGAAATGAACACATCACCTCATAGGACATCTGATTTAGGTCTCTTGCAGAATACGGTGGTGAGAGCTGAAGGAACTCCCTAGGGGTTTTAGCTATTAGATCACCTGGGAGGACAGCATCTTCTTCCCTGCCAATTTCAGATATAATTGGAGGGAGAATTTCTGGTCCTAGACTATAAGGATAGAATCCCCTTGCTTTTGCCCTTGATCACATGTATACTAAGGTATTAAGTGGCCCAAGTCTTTCCTTTCACCAAAGGGCAGGGAGAAGCGTCTATGGACAGCAGGGTTCCAATTCTTGTCGTTCCAGGAATATCTGGATATTCCTGGAATGTGGGCCCTGAGACAGTGCCCAGGGGCCACTGGGAGCCAGTATTAGGCATTGACTGTCAGCCAGGAGTCTGACTGGTCTAACACCACACTGCAACTCCTGGCCTCTTGAAGTACTAAACTACTTTGCTGTTAGTGAGAGTTATTACAGTTTCTCAGCCCCATTGTCTCTGTCCTCTGTGGCAATGGAAGGAGAATATAGGGAAGATAAAATTAAATATAGACAGACCTGAGAAGGACAGCCAGGATTGAATTCCATTTGTGCCTATTCCCTGCCTCCCCTCCCCTCCCCCACCCTACCAGTTGGTTATTTTCTCCCTACTGTATACGTGATGTGTTCACTGCCTATTCTCTCCCTAAAGAAGAGAGAAGACCGGTGGGCTGACCGATCTGCTCTAAATCTACTTTGGTGATTAAATCTTGGTCACAACATCCTGGGAAGTTTCCTGAACAACTGTAAAATAATAAAATTATTTTCAGAATGAAGAGTTTGTGTGTGTGTGTGTGTGTGTGTGTGTGTGTGTGTGTGTGTGAGTGAATGGATATGTGCACAGGTGCTTCAGTACCTGTGTTTGCATGCTGGCGGGGTGGAAGGTGGGTAAGAGAAGTAGGGAAGGAGGTAGCCAGAAATAGTTACAGGGGTAGAAAGCTCTACATATTCAGGCTTTCTTCTCATTGGCCAATATCAGTGACAGCTGCAGGCATTCTTCCAGCCTTAGCTGCTAGACCCCAGGTGATGAATGCAGTGAGGAAAATCTATCCTAATACTGAATCAAATACGCTGGGCCTTAGGGCATGAAATTGATGCAGGTCCATGCATGGTCCTCGGAGAACTCTTATCTAGCGCATACTGAAAACATTAGACCCCTAGGGATCCCTTTGGGTGGGAATGGGAGAAGAGAAGCTTAATAGCATGTAGCAGGTTAGATGGGCATTATGTTTTGTTTTGTTTTGTTATGTGTTTTGAGACCGAGTTTCACTCTTTCGCTGAGGCTGGAGTGCAGTGGCACGATCTTGACTCACTGCAACCTCTGCCTTCCAGTTTCAAGCGATTCTTCTGCCTCAGCCTCCCAAGTTGCTGGGATTACAGGTGCCTGCCACCATGCCTGGCTAATTTTTGTACTTTTAGTAGAGATGGTTTCACTACGTTGGCCAGGCTAGTCTCAAACTCCTGACCTTGTGATCCACCCGTCTTGGCCTCCCAAAGTACTGGGATTAGAGGCGGGAGCCACCATGACCAGCTATTACGGTTTTTTATATTAAGTTGCTGCTTGAGAGAAGCTAGCTCACTTTCTCAAAGTACAGTAAATGGTTTAATTGAAGCAAGTCTATCTGATTTCAAGGCCCGTTCTATTTCTGTGTGATACACCTCACTACCTCATCAGTAATGAACTTGTGACATTTGCTAAAGAAAGATGGGGCTTCTTGGTGTCATCTCTGATTAATTTCTAGTTTCTCCAGAGAACTATGTACCTGGATGGTGTGTCACAGTATATAGTCTAATTCGTATTTTGACACTACATGAGGATTCCAAGTGATTTTACAAGACTATTTTCCCTTCTACAAATGTACTCTTCCTTATAACTTCGGTACCACCACGATAAATAGGTAATAAAGTAGGAGGGATAAATAAAGCTCCCCCAGGCATAGAATCCTTAGATTTGGAAGTGACAGAGGCTTCATTTTCCTAATGCAGAAAAGTGCCTGTATCATGGGCCAGTTTCATCTAGTCCTGCTTAAACTCCTTGGAGAATGCACCGTTGTGAACAAATCAAGAAGTCCACAGACAATCAAGATTAGGAGAGGCTAGGTCAGATACAATAACAGACACCCTCAAATTCGCAGTAGCCAAAACAAAGGACTATTTAGTGAAAGACTCCAATTCCCTCACATGGTGGATGGGACTCCACTTGTGTTCTTTCTCACTCAGGGACTCAGTCTGCTGGAGGAGCCAACATGGAGAATTACAGGTTGCCTTGGGCAGTGGTGAAAGAGCATAGCAAAGCTTGCAGTGGTCTTACGGTCTCCGCCAGAAAGTGGCATCTGTCACTGGCCAAAACAAGTCACCTCAGCACGTCTGACTTCAAGAGGGAAGGGAGGGGCAGCAAGTCTTGACACGCAGTGAAACAGGAGGCCACAAAGACCTTCCATCAGGTGACCAGCACCTGGTTCTTTCAGAATTCTTCCTAATATCTGGAGCCAAATCTTTAGTTTGTTAGCTCAGACTTCACAGTGCCCCAAACAAGCTAGGAAACTTTCTCCTTCCATGTCTTGCCTTTTCCCTTATGAGTTATTCCTTCTGGCATTCAACTGGTCGATGTTTATTTGAACATCTATATGAAAACTCCACTTTTAAGTGCTGTGGGTAATATAGGGGTGAGTTTCTTTTTAAGTCTCATGCTTCAAAATCCACATGTGAATGACTTCTCCCATAAAGCCTTTCTTGATGAATACATCCCATACCAAATGCTCTGAATTCCTTTACAGTCTCAAACGTAACTGCCACCCTATTTAGGATACAGTGCTGTTCTATGGAATTCTCTAATATGTTTTCTGGTTGAATGTTTGTTTCTCTCACTAGATTACAAAGTCAGAGTTAAAGCAGCATTTTCTATGACTGCCCTATGACCCCCATTGTCAAAACCTTGCAAAAAGACCAGGCACAGAAACATTTAATCCTTTTAAAATTTAAGTGTCTAAAGCAGAAGGAACTGACTCAAATATCAGGAAGTAGCTGTGAGGATGGGGTGGCAGGAAATGACGAAAACCTGAATACGGAACTGAAGCAGCAGCTCAGTTTCTCACTCCGAAGTGGCAGCAGCCAGAGAGGGAGTCGGTGTGGACGCGAGGAGCCGGGCGCTTAGAACAGAGGCTCACACAAGTGGAGGTGGGTACTCTGAGCCATGGGACAGTCAGGAAACACAGTAATTGTTGAGGAGGAACCTACCTGGCTCTTAGTCCTTGGTGATGGGCAAGGTCACCACTAGTAGGCTTTTATCCTTTTATGGCCAGAAGGCCTGGTTGTGAGTGGTTGTAGCAAATCAGCATCTGGAGATAGAAACAGAAGGGAGGGACTTAAACTCAAGGCAAATGATTCAGGAGCCATCTAGCACAGACGTCAAGCAAAGTGTTGCCTGGTTTCTGCTGACAATCTACGACCCACTCTAAGGCATGTCTCCCCTAGGTACTGAGTTGGGAGGAGGAACACAGGAGAAGAAAACAGTGTCTGCCCTTGAAGAGCATATGGTCTCAGGAAATGTAACAGATAAGGAAGTAGTCACTGATGTAAAGTAGCACTGAGTACCAAGTGCTGATGGAGCCCAAGAGAAGGCATGATGGTTCTGCTGGGGCTAGTTTCTGTGATTGTAGATCACAGAATCCCCGAATGTCAGAAATCAAGGAGACTTTACAGATTAGCTAGGTTAACCCCTTCATTATTTTCCACTGGGGAAATCAGAGATAATTGCTGATTTGGCAAATTATTCAAGTTGGTATTTATTAATCGCCTGGTCTCATACCTGGCAAATGAGTACCTACTCTGTTGATGCCCTTGTGATGGTCTCTCAGAGGCTTAGTCATAGAGCTAGGGTGACAGCCAGGGCTTCTGACTCCCAGTCCGTCTACTTTGATGCAGGAGGTCAGCATCGCACCAAGGCCTCACCAGATTACTTTCTGGTTCTCACCTCTAGATAGCACTTCTTACCTTTCTGGTTTCTGGTCAATAGGTCAAGGATATTAGATAAATTGTCTCTATTTCAGAAACTCTTTATTTCAAAAATGGGTGAATGGAAGAGTCAGGCTGAGGCCTCAGAGGAGCCACAGGAAAGAGGATGGGACCATCAGTCCTCATTGCTTCCTTATTGCTCATGACTATTTCAGAAACTTCTCCATTCCAGTTTTGTGTGTGACAGTCCTTTTGTTGCACAGCAGCCCAGGAGCCAGGGGATGAGAAGTAGAGGGGTAGTAAGGATGCAGGATTCTAAGTCTTGTTTTGCTGTCTCCACCCGCGTCAGGGAAAGCCGAGCTGCTTTCAGCCGTGACTCACGGCTGACTCAGTCAGTATCTGCCCAGTGTCCCCTTAGCATCTCTTTAACTGATTTACCCCAGACTTCCCCTGGGCTGGTTTTTAAGGGGTTGCTCAATGGAGAAGATGGAGTTTTCAAGTGGAAATAGAAAACTGGAGAATCTGAAGGCCTAGGTGGGGACAGGAGAACCCAAGGAGTAGTTGTAAAGGAACTCTTTGGAGACAATGGAGAGCATGAAGAAGGTCTCCAATGGGATGAGGTGTCTGAGGAGGGAAGGGTTGCCAGCTAGCAAGTCGTGCCAGGGTCAAGAAGTCTCAGTAGCGACCATAGCAGATGAGCATTGTCTGTTGTTACTTCTTCACACCAAGATCCACAGATGCAGAGCAACCATGCTGCTCTTCCTTCTGCACAGTCCAGAAGGCCGACTAGAACACTGGGGATGCTCTAGCAGAGTAAGTTTGGCACCCTTCCAAGCTAGTGTTCTCTAAATATTTCTGCAACATTTATTTAGTTGATAAAAACTGAATACCTCTTAATGTTCAAAATAAGATTTATTATATATGATTCTTTTTTCTTTTCTATGATAAATTGTCAACTTGAAAACATGCTATTTTTTGAACTACTTTTCTTTAGAAATATAATTGAACCATTTTTTTAAAATTGAGTAATAACTGACTTATTCCCAGCAAATAATGCTTTTCCATGCATTCTTCAGTGTGGAAATGTCAGCCAACTGTCCCTACTGACCTTACGCAGCTGTGAAGTGACCAGTCTCAGGGTGAAGGTGGGACATCACTTGGACAAGAGGCTGGAAAAATTCTCAGTATAGTTCAGCAGGTTGTAAAGAGAGACGTAGATGTTCACTTGTGAGAAACTGAACCAATTTGTATTTCAACAGTGACAAAGGAATCATATATAGAAACCTGAGTGAAATGAGGCCATAATTCTAGGGATATTATAGCACCCCTCATTGCCAACCACCTTCAGCCACTGCCTGGCTGGCCTCGGGACACAAGTGAACAATTCCAGCAATTTTGACTTACAGGTTACCTAGTGTTACCCACACCCGTGGCAACTTCTCTCTAGCCCCAAGCGGGCCCAGGCCACATTGGTTTGTCTTGAATAAAGCCCCATCTCTCCTCTTGTAACTGAGCAGAAAAGCCTTCCTACAACTCCCATTTGCTTTGCTTCATTTTCTATTTTCTTCTAAGAAAAAAAAATGGCAGGAAATATTGGGCTTCTATATTTTGACTTCAACATTCCTATTTTCCCTCCTCTTGATCCTTTTTGTCCCTAATTATTCCCATCTCCTGTCACTCTCAGATGTGGAAGTCTGTAGTGGGCCATGATGTGTCTGTTTCCGTGGAGACCCAGGGTGATGATTGGGACACAGATCCTGACTTTGTGGTGAGTTTGGAAGTAGCTTTGCTTGAATATTGCAGAGAGTGGGGTGGCGAGGGCATCTGGGCAACTCTGTGACCTTTGAGGATGCTTGGAAAAGGGCCTTCTGGGACTGAGACAGCCCTCTTACTGGGACTAATTGGTAGGACAGTTGGCTGTCGCCTGTGGGGCATGCACGATACCTGGTATCAGGGATGAAAGGAGACAGGCGTGGGTGAGTTTGACGGTGTGATTGACAGGCAATGGCAGGCTATACTGAAGTTGAGAAGCAGGTGAACCTGGGTCTCCCCAGGCCCATGATCCAGGATTCAAGCTGGACATGTGTAACTGGGGGATTGAAAAGCTGTAGGAGACCAGATGGGGTAGGCATGAAGTATGCAGAGGAAGAATGGAGGTTTCAGAGCTCACTAGTTTAATTCTTTGTGTTTTTTATTTGTTTGTTTGCTTTATGAGACAAGTCTCACTCTGTCACCCAGGCTGGAGTGCAGAGGTGCAGTCTCAGCTCACTGCAACCTCTGTCTCCCAGGTTCAAGCAATTCTCCTACCTCAGCCTCCCGAGTAGTCCCTGTAGCTGGGACTACAGGTGCACGCCACCACACCTGGCTAATTTTTGTATTTTTTTTTGGTAGAGATGGGGTTTCTTCATGTTGGCCACGTTAGTCTTGAACTCTTGACCTCAAGAGATCCACCCGCCTCGGCCTCCTAAAATGCTAGGATTACAGGCATAAGCCACCATGCCCAGCCTCACCAGTTTAATTCTTACATGGGGTCAGGATGGGATAAACATAGAGGGGATGTGAGTAAAGACCCAGACTGAAGAAGGCAGTGGACACAGGGGACATGGAGGGCATATATCAGTTGTGTGGCCCTTCTCAATGTGGCACATTTCTTGCCGTCACGTATTACTGAGTGCTGTCATTTGCAGAATGACATCTCTGAGAAGGAGCAGCGGTGGGGAGCCAAGACCATCGAGGGCTCTGGACGCACAGAACACATCAAGTAAGTGCCAAAAGGACTGGGGAAAAGGAAGGGGGTTATGGGAAGAGCCCAAAGAAAACTCAGAGACTTGGGGGAAGGTGAGGGAGGAAAAGGATAGGGTAGTTCATGTCTATGTATTACTGTGTTTGGTTTTTTCTAGAGTCTGTTCCTGTGTGTAGCTTGTGTGTCATTGTGTACTTCTATTTTATGTCTCTCCTCTTATCCTCCTCAACGCTATTATCTGTCTTTTATACCTAACAACTCTGCTATTTCCCCAAGTGGGGGTCTATTGGATTAACTGCCTCCCTTCCTTTAGTAAGGCATAAGAGATTCAGAGAGGAAGTGGCCCAAATACTAAGGTCCTCTCTATCTATCTACCTGGCAATCATCTATCTCCTGTCTATCTCTTCAGATAAATATAAATGTGTATTTAGAATTTAGGGTGACTTCCTTCAGATGGACTAAGAATAATTCAGTAAAATGTCAAGGTGAAGAACCCAGAATAAATGCTATAAAAAGAGGCCACTTCAGCTCCCATACCTGGCCCAAATAACGTTTAAAATACAGATTTGTACTTAGCTATTTGACAGAAGTTGGAAGTCATGCATGGTAATATGAAGAAATATAACACTTGGAAAACCTGTTGATAAAAACTATTTTGACAATGATGTTCAGGAATCTTTAAGATTATAGCCCCATTTGCATCTTACCAGAAACAAACAAACAAACAAAACCCTCTGATACCAGAAGATAAAAGGAACTTACAGACATATCCAGGGGTTTCTGTGGGATATGTCATATAATCAGGCTGAGAGATCCCCTCCTCTCTTCCATGGATTATTCAGGATCACTAACCAGGACCATCTGCTTTGGATAGTATCAGAATGTCAAACATTAGTAGCAAGGTAGACACAATAAATAGTGTAATGAGCAAGCATTCAACAACTACACACAAAATGGCAAGATTAATAAAGTCTTAAGCTCCATTTTTAACTCCCCCCACCACACCCTAAGAGCAGTGTTTTTACCTCTAGATTTTAAAAAGTGTCAGTGGATGACCACATTGCACCAGCAATACACTGTGAAAGCCTGGCATAAGTTTATACAACTGGATGACAGTACCACATTGTTTAATCAGAAATAAATGATTTCGGCCAGCCGTTGTGGCTCATGCTTGTAATCCCAGAACTTTGGTAGGCCAAGGCAAGCAGATCACTTGAGGTCAGGAGTTCAAGACCAGCCTGGCCAACATGATGAAACTCTGTCTCTACTAAAAATACAAAAATTAGCCAGGCGTGGTGGTGGGCGCCTGTAATCCCAGCTACTCAGGAGGCCGAAGCACAAGAGTCTCTTGAACCCAGGAGGCACAGGTTGCTGTGAGCTGAGATCGCGCCACTGCACTCCAGTCAGGGCAATAGAGCGAGACTCAGTCTCAATAAATAAATAAATAAATAAATGTTTTAATTAAGTACCTATAATGAATATTATTCTTAAACCATGCCATTCTGGAAAAAGATTGAAACAATGGAACAGGGTCATTCAGGAAGTTTCTGTGATACCCCTCTATAGACTCATAGATCAAAAAAAAAAAAAAAGGACCCTTTTCCTTTTCTAAATAAAAGCCACTCAGTGGTAGTATTCTGGGAATTGTCCAGATGAGGATGCATACTTCGTACCGTTTTTCTCCCAGTGCCTGTTTCATATATAGGAGGTAGGAGTACAATATTTTAAGGAAGTCTCCTAAATTCCTGCCATAATCTTATGGAAAGAGCTTGAATTTGGGTATTAGATAGACTTAGATTCAATTCCTAACTCTGCCACTCTTAGCAATGTGAACTTGGTCACATAACTTTTTTGAACCTCAGCTTATTTATCAAACGGGGATAAGAATAGCAACTCTAGCTTTGCACAGTGGTGGTATTGTAGCCAATGAGGTTTATCTGAGGTGTGATTATTGCTCATTGAAAACTTTTCCCAACACTCCACCATTACAACTTGCAATATAGTAGGCATCGGCAAAAAAAAAAAAAAAAAAAAAAAAACTCTAATAAAAAAATGAAATAATATAAAAAAAGGTAGCCACCCAGAAGATGTGTAGTGAGAATTCCATGGGATAGCCAATGTCTAATGCAGTACTTAGCACTTCTGAGCAGCTCAGTGATGTTATTTTTGTTTCCTGTTAACATAGGTTAGTTTAATCAGATTTCCTTTCTAAAATCTAACGAACATGTAAACAGACAACAGCCCTCTTTTCTCCTAAGTGGTGTCTACCTGTACTGTTGTATTGCACAACTCCTGTATACAGATCACCCTGACTGGTGCTCCCTGGAGTTGTACAACATGGTGACCCTGCACATTTCCTTGTTAACCTAACTGAATATCTGATAGAATAAATGATGGAGGTATTGACAAAAAAAGCTCTCTCATCTCCCATTTACCCAGGTTATCAAGGAGTAAAAGCCTGGTATCTACTGGTGACAGGCCAGGTGGCCTTAGACAAGTCCCTTTTCCTCTCTGATTCTCATTTTGCCCATCTGGATCAAAAAGACCTCTAGAGGACTTTCCAGTAGTAAGTTTCCACTATTTGGGGATTCCCCCTGGTTAGTGTGGGCTAAGCCAGTCTTTAACATCTGATAGGAATCACCATGGTCCTTGGAAAAGAGGGGGAAATTGGAGAGAAGAACAGTAGTTGTAGATTCTAACACTGACAGATCCCAAAATGAAAGCAACAACAACAAAAAAACAAGACAAAACAAAAAAAACAGTAGCTGTAGAGCTGAGCCGACTAAAAGCAGGAAAAGGAAGTGGTTGTAGTTCTTACTAATCTTACTACCTTCCCCACAGCGTGATGTCTCTTTTTAGGTCTGCTTGAATAAATTTAGTTTGGGTAGTAATTTGGTAATTCAATGAATAACTCAAATGGTCCTATGCGTCCCTTATCCATTCTGTAAAGGAACTGCCTGGTTTTCAAGAACTATCACCCTTCTCTCCACCTTCTTTTCTCCACTCTTGTCCATTCATTCTCAAGACTCAAGGATGTCTTTTCCCTTGACCAGTCTGTTTATTTTCAAATCTGTCACAGACTGAAACTTTTGTAAAATAAAATAAAATTGAGTTTCTGGAAAAATAAATGGTTAAAAATAACATAGACAATACAAACACAGTTTGTATTTTTAAATTCAACAGATATAAAATCACGATGTTGTCAGGCATGCTAGTCTGTGCCTATAGACCCAGCTACTCAGGAGGCTGAGGCAGGAGGATCACTTGAGTCCAGTAGTTCTGGGCTATAGTGCTCTATGCTGATTGGGTCTCCACAATAAATTCTGAATCAACATAGTGACCTCCCACCTCCCAGGAGTCGGGGACCATAGGTTGCCTAAGAAGGGGTGAACTGGCCCAGGTCAGAAATGGGGCAGGTCAAAACTCCAGTGCTGATCAGTAGTGGGATTGTATTTGTGAGTAGCCATTGCACTCCAGCCTGAGCAACATAGTGAGACCTCATTTCTAAAAAAGAAAAAGAATAAAATCACTATGTCAAATTGCTATAAAAGTTTCTAAACACATATTCTCAATTTTTATTCTTATTTCCCTGTGAAACAGAAACAGTTCAGCTTGTGGACCACACACTGAGTGGCACCACTCTGGAATAATCTTTCAGCACTTCCTGGAACTTGTCTGGCCTTTAGATTAAATCTTTACTGAGCTATAACCATAGGATGTCTGCCTCAGTGACCCTGTCCTCTTTCTTGTGCCCTGACATTTTATAGCAAGTGGAAATAAAGAATGGTGTAATACCAAGAGTATTGAAATAGAATTCTGGGGCTCTACGGACTGATTCCAGCTCTGCTGTAAAAGGGCTCATGATACTGAGGAGAGTAATAATATTTTACCATCCTATTTTGATTTCCAGTGGTGACTGGAGATTATAGTACTATCCCTGTTTACCTCACAGGGGTACTGGGAAGAGCCATGGCTGTGACTTAAGAATAATGACCAACATTTATTAAGTTATTATATGTCATGCAAAACACAGTACTTTTTAAAAACAACCCTATATCATAGATGACGTTGGCATCCTGATTTCACAGAAAAGTGAATGGATATATTAATGTTTAGCAATTTGTCCAACGATACAGAGATACAGGTTGAGCATCCCTAATTCAAAAATTGAAAATCTAAAATGTTCCAAAATCTGAAATGTTTGAAAGCCCACATGATACCACAAGTAGAAAATTCCACACCTGACTACATGTGATGGGTTGCAGTCAAAATACAGGTGCACAACACAGGTTTTTCGGTGTTCCCAAGGGAAAAATAAAGTTACCTCCATTTATTTTGGTCTTCTTTAATACCTTTCTTAATATAGTGTATATGACATATAAATGAATTTCCTGTTTACACATGGGTCTAGTCCCCAAGACATCTCATTATGTATATGCAAATATTCCAAAATCTGAAAAAATTCTGAATCCAAAACACTTCTAGCCCAAGCGTTTGGGATGAGGGAAACTCAACCTGTAGTAATTTGAATTTGGCTCAGTCTGACTCCATGGGCTGAAAGCTTAACCATTATATTGTTTTTGTCTAATAAACATAATATTGTCATGTCCATAATTCTCTTGTTGAAATAAAATGCAAATTCCCAAGAGCTAAGCTATTGCCATTCCCTAAGGCTGCTTGCTATTCTGTTTACAGTGACAAAGTACTTGATAAGTTGGCTTTAATAATACTACAATCACTTCATAAACAAACCTCTTTATGAGTGCCCAAAGTCTCTTTCATTTAATGTTTTCTTCACTTTATTATTTTTCAAAAATTAACTTTTTTTTTTTTTTTTTTTTGAGATGGAGTTTCGCTCTATCATCCAGACTGGAGTGCAGTGGTGCAATCTCAGCTCACTGAAACCTCCGCCTCTGCCTCCCGGCTTCAAGTAATTCTCCTACCTCAGCTTCCTGAGTAGCTGGGATTACCGGCATGTGCCACCTCGCCTAGCTAATTTGCGTATTTTTAGTAGAGAC